TCTCCTCCGTTTTTGAAGTCGGACATTTAGTTCTCATCCAAACGTCGATGAATTAAATTTTACTTAAATTTGCGTTGGCGGAATCCATTTGATCGTAGCCGGCAAGTTGTAAAGTTTTCATCGAACCAATGAATATTCAATAAAAGGAACTTCTGTCGCTAAATGTAAAAGCTCGATGAATTTTCGCGGCGACTTTTACGTTTTTAGATTTTAAATAAAGTTTACCATAAATATCAACAACAAATAGGGCCTTAAAAGGTGGTAGGTCATCGACACAATAATTGAGTGCCCGCCGCCGCCCGGGGGACAATCTGACCCTCCATGATAATACGTAAATTACATTCGGTCGCCGTGTTTACTTCCCAGTTTATTAAGCCTTTAGAGGTCACATGCAAATTGGTCGCCGCAATTGACAAATTCACCGTACTTTCGGAAAATCAGCAAGAATTGCGCGTCTATAGTTAGTTTTCGTAAAAACATTAAATTACTCCCGCATAAAAGTTTAATTATAGACTGTAAAGTACCATGGGCAAGACCTAGGAGCGAATAGGATTAGGCAAGATTAGAGCACGTAAATCAGCATTTATAATTGCAATTAAATAACAATTTTATTAGTACCGGGTCTAATATATATATTGCTAAAATCTCGAATAATAAATAACTACGATATCCCCTATGAGATATTCTATGAGGGAGGATTATGTTTAACAGTGAACTTTGATAGACTGTTATAAATTAAAAACATAAAAGCAATACATTAGAATATATACATATATGTAGAATAAAATAAACATAGAAATAAAAGGAATCACACATTATAATTATTTATCCTTTTAAGTGGTTAATATCACAAGTTTACGGTTTAAGTATATAATATTAATGTCGTTATAATGAATAAATCAGTGAACATAACATCAAAATACATATGCGTTGAATGATATATGAATGTTCCTCTCGTTTTTTTTTTTTTGATAGAAATTAGTTTGTATTTTGTTTATATTTTTGTGTCTAAAACACATTCCAATACACTTGTATTGTTCAACAACATTCCAATATACTTGGACGATGAATGTAGTAAGCTTACATGTGCTACAACATTTATTTATATAGCACCATCAACCAAAGTTATTTTGAGTCGCATCAAAAATATGGTCGAGAAACTAATTCCCAAGTCTTCAAACATTTCATGAACAAGCGCCGTTGGCAGCAGACTTCTTAGGTCTGCCTCATGTTGCTTTTGCACGTTAAAAGTCTTAAACTTCCTCTTATGCATAATCGCATTAAATTATTTAAAGTATGATATTAGTTGCTCTTGTAATTTTAACAAACAATTTGCATTACAAATATTCTTTTAGTTTTTTGTTTTTATAGAATAGAAGTAATGACAAGTGAGCACATAACCCAAATGATGGTAAGTAGGTGTTGTGGCCCATATATATCTACATCTATCTTCGATTAGGAGAATCAAAACGAAGATGTGTTATCACTCCTGAGGACTGAGATAGAACACCTCGTTACCGGTAAAAAGGGTTTCCGATTCTCCAAGCTCATCATAGTGTGAAATCGTGGTCCTACTCCGGTCAATCCCACCTATTCGTGCTAGCTGCAGTGTGGTTATATTGTACGCATATAGTATGTATTTTAACGTACCTTCAGGTATATTATTTACTTTAGGGTAGTATGCGCTTGATGCTTAACTAAACTACGTAAAACTCAAAACCATCATCATAAATATTAATTCGAAAGACAAAAAGATACATTTTTCAATTTGGAATAAATAAAAATACTATTCTCTCACGGGTTCTATTCTGAAACAATATTGTGACTGCAGTACGTTGCAAATTTTTAAATAATCGAAAATTACCGAAATCTTTAACCACAATCACCTTATATGGATGTAGTAAATGATATAGATGCAAGGTGAATAATGACGTCAGAAACAGTAAAATTAAATATAAATACATTTATTTATACGCCAGAGCAATTCGATAAAAACAATAAAAATGGCAAAGTAAGTAATGTTGTAAACGGCCAGTCCCAACGGAGACTAGCCATCTGTGCAGGACAGGATAGTGTCCGTGTGCGCGCAAGCACAGGTGTATCCCCAATGGGACGACAATACGACACGACCGGAGAGAAATCAGATGCAGGACCAATGGTTTTGCGTGCTTTCCGAGGCACGAGGATAAAGCACCGCCAACTTTCTGACAACGGGCTGCTTTTGAGAATTTCTTGAGAGAAAGCCCCAATAAATGATTTTGGGCCCGACCCGGGATTAGAATTCGGGACTACGCTGATCAGCAGTCGCGCTCACGACTACTAGACCAAGGACACTAAGACGAGGACAGAAGACATACGTCGTGAACGTCACGCGACGTTCATTTCATTCTATTGCCGACTTCCAAAAAGGAGACGGTACTCAATTCGACTGTATGTTTTTTTTTTTAATGTGTGTCACCTCATAACTTTTTACTGGGTGAACTGATTTCGATGATTCTTTTTTTATTTGAAAGCTGGTACTTCTCGTGTGGTCCCATATGAATTTGATCAAGGTCAGGACAATAGATTTTGAGTTAATTTTAATAACTTATATTGAAGTCGGCTGTACAAAACTTTAAATTTTAAATTATACAGTAAGTGTTAACGATTGTGCAAAGTCAACTTAGCCAACCCCGCAGATATATCAACCCTGTCTAGGCAACTAATTTTTATATCGATCGGAGCGGAGGGCAAGTGACGTGAAGGCGCCTCCCAGCGAGATAGCGTACGCCGGGAAAGCGTAGCGAGGTGCACTACAGCCCGTCTGCAAATATCGTTCCGTAATAATCATCAACAAAGCGGCCCCAGCAATATTAAGACAAGATTTTAAAGCGATGCATTTCTAAATTGCTTCTGCTATTATTCACTTTGAAATGCATTGTTCATCTTTGCTATAGAGTACGACATCGCTAATGTTTAATAGCAATGCAGTGTAGGTACTGGTGCTTCTTTGTTGCTTAAATATGCACTGTACTGATACACCTATATACACAGATGAGTTTGTTGTAAGTTTGTTTTGTTGAGCTAAATTGCAAAAAAAAAAACATCATACCACATTAGCGCCTGGTCTAAGATTTACCACAACTCTCTTAAGTGTACATAAGCGCCTGGTCTATAATATATGATTTACCACAACTCTGTGTTAAAATAAAATAAAACTTGTGAACGCATTCCGGTGTACATGCATTTATTTTAAATTGTATTTACATAATCATATATTTTAATTAAATTGTTGTTTACAAAATCATAAAATTCAATTTGTAATATTTCGGGATCTCGTGATTTTTTATAAAATAATTAAATAGCGTGTGTTTGTTTACTAGAGTAAAGCGAACAATGACGGCATCGGCGCAGTTTTCGTAATTTGTTACGGAATCAAAGGAAATGTTCATTATTTTCACATTTTAAAATATTTCTTTTCCATTTATTTATTGTAATATTTTGAGTTTTTATATAACGAGGGGAATTATACTATAGTATTTGAGTAACAAACAAGCCAATAGTTGTCTGTAGTTAAGTAACTTTTGCAGCACTTGATCTCCTCCAAACAAGTTCAAACAAAAGACCTCGCTAATTGTAGAAACTATTTACTTACCTTAACCGTCACGCTTGTCAGGCGAATTAGTACCAGACGTTTTGCACTTTTGCTGCTGCTTTCCTTCGTAATTTTACGGCTGGTGTTAATGATGGTTAATCCGCCATCTATCGAAGGACATAAGATCTCTTGGACATATTCCATAGTCACATGTTACGACACACACTGGGACGAGTTACTTCAACACAACGACCCCTGAGTACTAAGATGAAATGCAAAATAATTCTAGGGCTGTATACAGCCTTCCAGATTATAGAATAATTCCAGAATTATTGGATGCTCAGCTGCAAAAATAACTAAGTAGTAGTCTCACCACCTGGTGCTGCTAGTGTTGAAAAGTTTTTTTTTTATAGGATCGGGTGACAAACGAGCACACAGTCCACCTGATGGTAGTGTTTACTGTGACCCATAGACATCTACATCTATCCTCTATAAAGACTCAAGATGTAGATGCGTTGTCACCCGTGAGGGCTAAGATGGAATGCCTCTTTGCCAGTAAAAAGGGTCTCCGGGTCTCTACACTCACCATACGGAACACAGCAGCGTCAAGCTGCTATTTTACGCTGGTTTTCTGTGAGAGCGTGGTCCTTCCCCGGTCGAGCCGACCCATTCGTGCTACAACCATAATATAGCTGCAGCATGGCTCTACCACGTAGAAATTTATATTTCGGAAAGCATATATGACACTTGAATAATTATACACTTTTTTTATATAGTTCGTAATTTTAAGCGGAGATGTTATGTCTGGTTGCCAGGTAAAAAAATTACTTCACCTTGTCAACTGAGTTTTGAATATAAAATTAAAGTAAGTGGCTTCTGCAGTCAATTGGCACTTGCAGGCAACTTCAAACAACTACTACACTACAGATGCTTTGTCCCCCCCCCCCCCCCCCCCCGAGGAGTAGAGCAAAGTTACAGCACATAATATACGTCCCACTGCTGGGCACAGGACACACAAGGAAGTGTCCGCCGCACTGCCATAATGCGTGTTGGCGGACTTCACGTTTTAGAAATATTTTTTCTCATTTCTCAGACATGCCGGTTTCCTCACGATGTTTTCCTTCACCTCCGAGCAAGAGGTAAATCAGCACTTGAAATTGTAATTTATAACTTCATTGGTGCCGGTGGGGTTCGAGCCCGGATCGCTCGCGTACTGTGAAATTTACAGCGCTTAGCCCCTTCACTACCACGGTTTATTCACTTTGTAAAGTGTATAGTAAAATCTGTAGGTGAACATCCTGGAGAAAATTTCAAACGTGGCGAAAGTCATAAGACAAATCGTTCTTTACCTTTCTGTGCAACATGCCTATGCAAGTCCAGTAGCGAATCGATACAAGCTGATTAAGAGAGATCAAAGCGCACTTACCGAATTCGGTTGGCGACTAACAGTTCGGCGATATCTCGTCCGAGACGCGAGTAGGCCGACTCGACGATGACCAGTACTTTCGCGTCGATGCGGAGGCGCGCGTCCGACGTGTGGTCGCGTGCGTGCTGCTGCTGCGACGCGAGCAGCGAACACTGCGACAATGGCCGCGGTACACGGTCTCGCCACACCAAACTGTATAATAAACAATTTTAATATTACAAAAAGAATGATAGAATGCCTCATAGCCTAGTGTAGCAAAAGAGTGAGCACAAAGCCAATGCTTTACACTGGTGAACCTCCCCCTTAGACACCTATCATCTAGACCCATCAAGTTGTTTTAGCCACGTTATACACATATCAAATATTTTTCGTATGGAGTATTTTTATTCGGGTCAATCGAAAGGCTTAATTATCTTCTGCTCTGCTCCTCAAAATTTTGGATACGAGTAAACATGGCATTTATTCAACTCCTTTATTAGAAAAAAAAAATTCCATACCATCACGTTCTTATTTCAATTTTTCGATATTCTTTTGAAGTTCAACAATGAAGAAAGTACTTGACCTACAAACGGAAATATGGCTTTCCATAAGTTTTAAGAAATATATCTTAGGAAAAAAAAACCCACTTGTGTTTGTATATTGTTTACAGTTACGTCTACTTACAAAACAATCAGCGGGTGACACAATTTTGCTCCACTCTGGTAGTTTGCAGTAGAGTTGCTAATCCAGTTACATAAAATATAGTAATTTTAAACCTGTATTCTATAGGTGGTTTTTGAAAATTAATGACTGCTTTTCTGCCTAGATTTAGGTGTCAGGTCTGGTTAGGTAAAACCCAGGTCTGGTTATTACTCACACTGCTGCGCTCCGGTCTACAGTGTATAGAGAGCCAGTATAATTATAGGCATTCCATCGTAGTCTTCAGAGGTGACAAAGTATCTGTAGCCTTCTTTGTGTGAAGTTGGCTGCAGATGTTCATGGATTGCAACTGTAATAGCTACTTACCGCCAGGTGAACTGTAAGTTCGTCACTTCAGTTTTATAAAGATTTTTCAGTTTTATATAGATTCAGTTTATCAAACAGATCTTAAATAAATTCATACTTTTCAAGACCATTAAGTAAACGATATATGCTAATTTCCACGCAACCATAACGTACTGTATTCACAGCTTAAATATTATGTCTTTATTTGAACTCGTGCTTTTTATGACTAAGATAGATAATAATAGCGAGTCAAAGAGATAGATGACAATCAAAAAGCAAGAAAGTAGGACGCCGGATACAAACATTTCATCTTTCCTTATAACAGAACATTCAACAAAGCAATACCAAAATTTCTACGAGGCCGTTTCATAAAATATAATGGTTGTCGGCGAGCATTCCTCTATTCAAACCTACTTTGTACAGGCGGAGCATAATAGTGACGCAACAGTTTTTGTCTCTTACTACTTATAACATTGTATTATACATCAAACAAGAGAGTACACCCTTCTTAGTAATATGGTAACTACACCCACACCCGTAATTCCTAAAAGGCGACAATATGAAATGGCTTATGATCTAGATAAATATCCAGACCGACGACGGGGAATAATCAATTACATTCAATGTTATACCTGCGCCCACTTTTCTCTAAAGGGGGTCGCTTCCGATTCAGCAGAAAGGTCATACAGGCCAATGCCAGTCCCACAGGTGGTGTTTAGTGGGTAGGCACTTCTTCAAAGTGAGTCCCACCTAACCCACGCAGCCGGCTGCCGTGGTATGCTATGAGCATTCACCACCTCCCTCCCCCGCTTCCAGAGGTTAGCCTTGCATTGGGCGTTAAAAAAAAACGGGGCATAACTGCCAGACTTTTAGAAGTCCACTTGCCATGGCGATTATGGCAAATAATGCCTACTATGAGAGAGGCTCATGTCCAGGAGTACACTGTTACAGGCTTAAAAATAACTTTTTTTTACACTTTGATAAACCCTAAATTAGACTTAGTTTTTTATTTGTATATAAAACAAACATAAACATAAAAATAAAGGTTAAAATATAAAGTTACCGCTTAAATGAAGTGGCCACTTTAAATTTAAATTTAAACCTACACGGTCCACGGTTCGTGGTAAAAACTTTTTTTAAATACCTAAATTCCGCAAAAAAATTATGACATTCTATTGTTTGACTTTCAAATGTGGTTTACATTTCCGTTTTTTATGTTATTAAACATGAAGACCTCAATAATTAAGAATAATTTTCGATTAGAGGTTCCGACGTTGTTTTAACGCAGCAAGGACAGATTGCAATTTTAATGCTGCGTTTAGAGAGGATACGACTAACTGATGTACTGTGTCTGTGCAGTCTTCAGTAGATTTGACAGCATACAGGCAACTGAACAGACAGATCTCCAAATGCGTACGGTGCGACTTACGCAATTTTAATACTGCTTGTATTGAAGAAGCGATCGAGCGAAACCAGGGCTCCAAAGTCATTGCTCGAAATATGTCTGACAGAAAGAGCCAACTGTCAAAGCTGAAGACATAGTGTGGCAGCGTCGGTTCCGGGACATAAAAGATTTTGAGTGAGATTGACAGGTTCTATGGGCAGCTGTACACATCATCATTGGAGCCACACGCAAGTGTGAGTAACGATCCAAGAGCAAATCTTATCCGACACTATTCCGATGATATTCCGGACGTCAGTCTGAGCGAGATTAGAATGGCTCTCCAGCACCTTAAAATAGGCAAGGCCCCAGGCGAGGATGGAATTACAGCGGAGCTTCTGAAAGCGGGTGGAAAACCGGCACTTGAAGTCCTTCAGAAGCTCTTTAATTCCGTCCTCCATGGTGGCACTACTCCGGCGGCGTGGAGCAGAAATGCGGTAGTCTTATTCTTCAAGAATGGCGACAACGCTCTCTTGAAGAACTACAGACAGATTTCCCTTCTGCCGCGTCTACGTGCTGTTTTCGAGAGCCATTAGGAATCGTCTCGCATGCACACTCGACGACTTCCAGCCTCTTGAACAAGCCCGTTTCCGAAAAGGCTTTAGCACCATAGACCATATACATACCCTTCGGCAAATTGTACAGAAGTCCGAGGTACTCCTCGTTAAGATGATCACTTAACGATAAGCCACCGTAGAGTCTACATCACCTGAGGATGCCTCGTGTAGAGGCGAAACACGTGTCGGTTTGTCGTCAGTCAGTGGTGTTGGGAGTAGTGGTGCTGGGATTAGTGGTGACGGGGATAGTGCACGCAAATGAGGGGGCGGGAGGTGCTCTTTATACTAGGTAAGACACATTATTTTATTTTATAGAGCGGATGTTTGCGAAGTAACTTTTTTAAAAGCTTTATATAATGGATTTCCACAAAGTAACGCCTGATTCTATTAATTATAATAAAAAAACTGCTCTCATTTACATTAGGTACTATATATCACACTCACAGGATACCAGATAGAATAGAAGCTTAAAGCTGTTGTGTTTCGTATGGTGAGTGTAGAGAACCGGAGACCCTTTTTACTGGAAATGAGGCACTCCATCTTAGTCCTCATGGTTGGCAACGCATCTGCATTTTGATTCGTAATCGATGTAGTGATGTTCATGATAGATGTAGATGTCTATGGGCCACAGCAACCACTTACCATCAGGTGGACTGTGTGCTCGTTTGTCACCCATATCCTATTAAAAGAAATATATACATAATTGGTGTATATTTTTTATCTTTTATTATTTATAAAGATTTACACACAAAGCAACCTAATACTAAATGTCTATGTTCTGAAAATATACATGTATATTAATATCTATAATTAATTTAATAGATATTTCAAGAAATATTTTTAAACGTTTCCTATAATTACAGAGCGACACATTCTCTTTTAAATTAAATGGCAGGCAATTTACAATTTTAGGTACTGTTTATTGTTTATTTCGTTTACCAGAATAATTATTAACTTTAGGAACTACTAAAAGAGAAGATATAGGCATCTTCTGCCTAGCAGTAGAACGTTTATAGACTGTAATTATAATCTCATCATGCAAATTATGCCGCGAGTACTTTAATGATCGGTTGGAACAAAATGCGTAAATTTATAAATGATAATTATTTTCAAATTAATTATCCGCTGCTGAAAAATAGGTAAGCAGGTAATATACCAATTCTCTAATCCTTTTGTTTAGTTTCCGGCATCCAGGGGTAGAGCTTAATACACTACGAAACAGGTTATGTCGCAAATTAAAAAAATATCAGTCAAGCATAAGCCATACCTAATACAATAACAATTAGTGTTTCGGCCATCAAACGACCTAAATTAGAAATAGTTTCTAACATCTAATTCGCCTTAGTAGAATTTTTCAAACTCGACAATTTCGCATATTTTATACCTGTTTCTCCATAATCATGATTCACACTAAAATTATTTGTGATAAACTTCTTCACTGAGAAAAACAATGATAAAATGTCTCTTATATGGTTCCGAACATATTTTGTCCTATTAACTTTTTATTACTAGTTTAGTTTTTGAGATTCCGTAACAAAAACTGTCTAAAACTTACAACTTTGTCAGTTTTCTTTTAAGTGGTAGAGCCATGCTGCAGCTATATTAGTAGTATAGTTGTAGCACGAATGGGTCGGCTCGACCGGGGAAGGACCGCGCTCTCATAGAAAACCAGCGTAAAATAGCAACTTAACGCTGCTGTGTTTCGTATGATGAGTGTAGAGAACCGGATACCCCTTTTACTGGCATAGAGGCATTTCATCATAGTCCTCACGGGTGACAACACATCTGCATCTTGAGTCTTTATTGAGGATAGATGTAGATGTCTATGGCTCACAGTAACCACTTACCATCATCAGGTGGACTGTGTGCTCGTTTGTCACCCTATACTATAAAAAAAAATTTTTTCTTTGAAAATATAAAAGGATTGTACGCTACTCAATGAGCTCTAGACAATAACACCGTACATGCTGAAGTAAGAAAAAGAAATTATTTTAAGGCTCTTTTTTCATGCAGGGATCCCTGAAAAATAATTTAATCATATCGTTTTTGGGTCAACATTCTACATCAAAAATCCAACTTTTAGGTGTAACACATTGGGTCTACGTGCAGACATACAGCAGAGTTACATTAATAGGTCTCCGTTTTACCTTTTAGGTATAGATCCCTTAATTATATTTTCATACTTCCAAACATTTTCAATATACCGATTA